CCCCCCATGCAACAGTGCACCTTTAGATTCATATGCAGGCTTAAAGCGAACGGGCTCATTAAGAACTGAAGATGGAAGAATGCTTTTCTAATATTTTTAATAGTACAATGTTTAAACATTTTTTATTCATACGATTCTTACCAAGCATCTTTTATTTTTTCTTTCTGAGATACGTAAGCGTTTGCTGTTTACTTCTTAGAAGTTCGGTTTTCTCTGTTGTTTACGCCAGATTTCCTTACCACAGTCTAAGAAACGAGTATATTATATCCAAATATTTCAATAACAACTTTGGACTGGGAAACAATGCTTTCGTTATAATTTTCAAAAAAACAAACAAAAGTGACATATTACGGTACATTATGTTTAAGAATTATGTACATTATGTTTATTATATTTATTATATTTATGTACCATAAAACATTCATTTGTTCTGCTTTATTTGCATTTTTACTTAAATTTAAAAGGAGATCAAACAGCATTAACTTATGAATTTTAAAATAAATGTTGTATTTGAACGTTAAAAGTCAAAATTCAAACTGTTTCTTACATAATCTGTTAACGCAGCTATGCTGATGCAAACATGTTGATTTATAGAGTGATTTTCGTTTGCTTATATTTCGGAGAGTGTTGGAAAAATACCTATTACGAACGTCAAAGTGTCAACCGTGACAAAATTATCATATTGTATTTTGATATAATATATATTTCTTAAAATAACTCTAAATTCATTCTGTATGACTCCCAGCACAACAATAGCTTTTATTTAAAATAAGTTTATTACAGCATATTACCATTGATTACAACTTTATGAGAACGTTTAGTTGGTTTATATTTATAAGTACATTTGCACGCCTTAAAATTTAGAAAACTACAATATCCCGGATCACCCATATTCTATTAGATGGTACACAAGTGAAATTACTTGTTTACTCTTTACATATATATATATGTGCGATCGGATGTAGAAATTAAATAATAATTTGTAAAGTATTCTTAAATTAATTTCTCATTTACCAATACCTTAGTACAAAATGACGTGACAATTAAAAAATAATCCTTTTTTTACTGAAATTGTTTGCTTAGTTTTCACAACGGTATATAGAATGTAAGTTAACTTTAAGATTCGTTTGATAAAATTATGTTTATTCCGTATAGAACTGGTTGTTTACAAGTGTGGCATGACGTTAGACTAAACTGTGAATTTCTTATGGGTCCCACAGTGCAACGAAATTATCAACATAACCGTGAAGAACGAAGCGGTGAGACGTCTCCGTTAAGCCTAACTCTGCTCTATTTTTACACTCCTTTCACGTTATACCAACCTCTACCTAAACTGGGTGTGCTTGTAAGCTGAACTTTGGCGTGTTTTATTCCAAATTAGTTTTCCTTGAGAAATGCAGGCAGCGGGAATAGCTCTCATCCATCGCACTGTGATATATACACACAAATACCCCATCGCACAGCTGTTAACAAAAAAACAGACTTGGGTATGCCAGAGGGGTCCCTGATCGTCTGCTTGTTAAACAACGGACGTTTCGGGCTCTTCTAAAACCAAAAGACTATAAATATCGCTCAAATGGGACCATAATCATTAAGAGCTCTGTTCTGCTCGTAAGTACATATAGACCCATTCTTGGGAATGAAGATCCACGATGATATTTTCATAAAATACTTTTATTGTTAAGTCCAAGCATAAGAATATTATAAAGAGTGATAGGCCGCTGCTAGGCCTAATCCGAGGTCACTCAATTGTGTAGCCAAGAAGCTGCCAGGAACCGCTGACTGTCCGTCGGTGACACTATCCACTCGAAACGCGCCAGTAGAGGTGTTATCGTTAGGCGAAGAGTGAGCATGAACCAATGACAGAGCGGAGGCTAAACCTGTGATGGTAGCCGCGGGCGGAAGGTCTAGCCCAGGGCCTGTGGTAGTTACCGGATGAAGTACGGGCTTAATATCGTTGCAGAAAGACATCTCATCGTGACTGTTCGCTTGTTCGGAATCGGAAGTCTGCAAGAAAGGGTCGTTGGCCGACTTGTGGTCATTTTTGTCTATTGTCTCAGGCTCTGTGTCCTGTCCAGTGTCAAGACCAGAACCAGTGTTCTTGGACCTATCGCCACCGTCCCTATGTAATAAGAAATATAGTTTTTAGTGGCAATACAAATACGTACATTTACATTATACGCACAAAAACACTGAAATCGGTACAGGCAAAGAAGCGTGAATCTATCTGAACGCTTAAAAATAAATTAATTTGATACATGTATTTAAATTAGACGATGTACACATTTGATCTTGGTGAACAAGTATCAAATATCACCCATCGCCTCTACTTTTTGGTGAAGTTTTAATAATCTTAAAACTTGTCAAATGTTTATCTGTGTGATTTATTACCCACAATTTTAAATCAGATTTAAATTCATGGCAATTTTTTCAATATTATATTTCATAATCGAACACACAGCACTTGAAAACAGCTTGAGTCCTAAACATGAACTTTCATATAAAACATGTATACTAGTAACTTGTCATTTTAATTATCTGAGGTTAAGTTGTAACTGTCGTTTTTGTTTTTTGTTGTTTTTAACAAGCTATAGTAAGTATTATAATTAATAATGAATTGAGTTACTTTTATCATTGCCCCCCCCCCCCCAGTGGCACAGCGGTATGTCTGCGGACTTACAACGCTAAGAATTCGGGTTTCGATACTGTTGTGGGCAGAGCACGGATAATCCATTGTGTAGCTTTGTGCTTAATTACAAACAAACAAAACAAACATCATCGGTTGAAGTAAAAAGTGGGTGTATGAGAGCTCGTCTATAATCAGGTGAAAATGATTTGTCGACTTATAACCTATTCAACTTTATAGCTAGAAAACTGGGCCTTATCATAACTAGTAGAAACATAAGTGTACCATTGTTGACTTATTGCTTGAAAGCTTGGCCTTATCATAACTAGTAGAAACATAAGTGTACCATTGTTGACTTACTGCTGGAAAACTTGGCTTTATCATAACTAGTACAAACATAAGTGTACCATTGTTGACTTACTGCTGGAAAACTTGGCTTTATCATAACTAGTACAAACATAAGTGTACCATTGTTGGCTTACTGCTTGAAAACTTGGCTTTATCATAACTAGTACAAACATAAGTGTACCATTGTTGACTTACTGCTTGAAACCTGAGCTTTATCATAACTAATACAAACATAAGAGTATCATTGTTGATTTATAGTTTGAAAGCTGAGCCTTATCATAACTAATACAAACATAAGTGTACCATTGTTGACTTATTGCTTGAAAACTTGGCTTTATCATAACTAATACAAATATAAGTGTACCTTTGCTGACTTATTGCTTGAAAGCTGGGCTTTATCATAACTAATACAAACATAAGAGTACCATTGTTGATTTATAGTTTGAAAGCTGAGCCTTATCATAACTAATACAAACATAAATGTACCATTGTTGACTTATTGCTTGAAAACTTGGCTTTATCATAACTAATACAAACATAAGAGTACCATTGTTGACTTAATGCTTGAAAGCTTGGCTTTATCATAACTAATACAAACATAAGAGTACCATTGTTGACTTCTTCTTTCTATGCATACTTCTTTTTGAGTTAGTACTAGTTAATATGCTCGTAAACAAACTAGTCGCACAAAAACAGACAACCTTGTATCAGTTATAGATAAACTTTTGGAAAACATAATTCAATAGGTCGCCGTTCACATAGTTTATTGTTTTAATGACGGCGATCCCCCAGGGGCTCAGCGGCATGTCTGAGGGCTTATATTATAAATTTCGTTTCGATACCCGCGGTGGGCAGAGTATAGGTAGTACAGTCTGTAGCTTTGTACTTAACTACAAAATACAAATAACATTGACAACTGAAGTGTTTTGTCAATCAAGTATGTCATATTTAAAAACATCCAGGTGTTAAAATACGCCTAAAAAATTGGAGAGGGTTTGGTGGAGAGCCATAATTAGAATTTTCATCTTCAACACACCTTATGTACACATGGGCTAAATGGTCAGGTCAGAGAATCCTATGATTGAGGTATAGCCAAGCCTACTTTTAAACTAATGACCAGAAGTAAATAAGTCAACCAGCAGCACCTACCACCACAAGAATCTTTGAACCGACAATTTCTGACATTGGAATAAGGAACATCGGTTGGGATTGAGAGAGGTGAGAAAGCAACCAAAATTAGAGAATTAGTGTACTCTAATAAGTCATTAGAACGTCATTGGAGTGAGAGGCCACCTTTTTAATTTCAGCGATGTGAAGACTATAGGGCCTCCTATGGTTTTGAAATGTTACAATCCGATATATAGGTGCAAAGTCACAAAGAAAGGAACCCGTTCAGCGTGAGATTGAAAAAAAGAAGAATATAAACTACTGGAGTTCAACGAAGAAAGAAAAAAAGACCGGAAGATGTGAGAGAGAGAACGAATAAACCGAGAGAGGCGAAAGAAAAAAGTAATATGCTGCCACTGAGAAGCAAAACCTATTTCGAAAGCTATGTGTTATTGATTATGGTAATAAACAACATGTTGTTGTGTTTATATTGGTATGAGTCAATTCCTGATAGGAATAAGTACAACCTAGATAACGTTGATGGACATAATAAGGAAAATCGAAATACAATATAGCACGATCGTAACAAAGCTACGTTAAAGCGATAATAACACCAACTGAAGAGATTGTTTATCGTTTTTATAACATCTTTACATCGAACATATTCAGCGGCATCACGTCTCGAATCCCGGGCCTTTGGATCCAAAAATCAACAAGCTTCTGACTAGGATTCTTATTACTGATCGTATTGAGAAAACCCAACTTAATTTATTTACCCATTTATAAAAAAAAATAACTCATTAACCCTGGAATCATGCTCACTGAACCTATATATTGAGGGTGTTCTTAGTCATTTCTTTTAAGCGACAAAATATGTATTGTATCTCAGACGGCTAGAAGAACCCTGCTATTGGGCGAAAGATCTCGTCGATACTGGATATAGCAGATATGGTGTGAGCTAAATATTATTTACTCTTTCTTATTTTCAACAGAAAGTTCGCCAGCTTTCTAGCTAGATATAGCACCTGGGGTTTCTTCATCTTTGATATCAAGATAAAAATAGGGGAACACAAAACAAATGCAATTTGCTTGAAGTAATTCTAGTATTTTAGGAACAATAATTGTGACGGTCCCAAGTGAATTAAGTTGTCAAAGTGTAATTTTCATTAAATGCAGTTATGTCGCTAAACATCAAAATTATGGTAAGGACTTTTATCACTATATTGTTTTTATTATTTATTTTAACACCCAAATAAGTAAGTTAATCCTTTTTCGCGCCTGAAATGCATATAAAACCAGTGTTTAACTTCGGTTTCCTGTGGCACATGAAAATGGTATCACATTCCCTCTGAATGGGATGCAAATCCATCGGAGTTTAACCCCCAGCTACCTAATGGTAAGCGTTAGACAGCGGGGTAGACTGAAGCAATTGGGGCAAAGTGTATTGCCCAAGTACACAATAACATAACGCAGACAAGTCTCGAACCCGCAGCCTTTCGATTACGAACCCAACTTGTTAACTAATAGGAGCAGAAGTAAGTATACGTATAAAAACCTACATGAAATACCACTTCCTCCCATTTCTTGCCCCCCCCCCCAGTGGCACAGCGGTATGTCTGCGGACTTACAACGCTAGAATCAGGGTTTCGATACCCGTGGTGGGCAGAGCACAGATAGTCCATTGTGTAGCTTTGTGCTTAATTACAAACAAACAAGCAATCCTCCCATTTCGATTTTTTTATCATGTGTGTATGTATACATGACTGAATTATTTTTCGTAGAACGCTGTTTAGCAAATTAAATAAATAACTTCGACGTTTTCTAATTTATAGAAATATACCTTTACAGTCGCAGTTGCATGTATGATATTTTGAATTTTCTTTTACACACCACAATAAACCTATATTTATATAAATATGTGTTCACTGTGATGAGTAAAACACAATTCCAAGCATCATGCATTCAGTATACACTCTATCATCATAAAATATATTTTTTGGTTTGTTTCAATGAAAAATAGGAATCGAACCTCGTATTTTAGCGTTAGAAGTCCTCTAACTCACTGTTGACGTACTGGGGGACTCCATTATAATAAACCTAATTTTGCTGTTTCGATTTCCCTTGTCCAGAGTAACTGATGAGGGGGCAGAGTTCACTCAAACCGGTATAACTCATTGACAGTAGAATCAAATGACAGGTTGAGCTTCCTATTTATACTTACAATCATCATGTTTGCAATTGTTAGACCCTTAAATATAAACTAATTATCTTAATTTATAAGAACATTACCCTGCCAAACTAATTTCGTTAGTAAACAAAATAGCCATGGCATGACCTGATGGTTATGGCACTCGAGTGGCAACCTGAGAGTCGCGGGTTCGAATCGCGCCCTCTTTCAGCTGTGAGTGTGTTACAATGTAATGGCCAATCCCGCTATTTGTTGGTAAAGAGTAGCCCAAGAGTTGGCGGTGGGTGTTGACTATTTGTATTCCCTCTAGGCTATCACGTCAAAATTAAGAACGGCTAGTGCAAATAACCCTAGAATAGCTTTTCGCGAAATTCACGCACGCAATATTATTTCTAATCTTCTTTCACAGAAACTATGATATTTATTTTGCATTCACTTATGCCATTTTTTATTAGTTACGTACGTACAGATAATAGCCTTTTCAACGAGAATATGATTGAACCTTAATCCTCTTATTACGACCACTAAACCAATTTTGCTTCAAGCATAGAAAATTCTAAATACACAGTAAAGTACTCTACCTTTTGAAAATAGAATTTTTAATTATGAGCATTGGTATAAAGTATTCATGTTAACATAGGATACTTTCAAAGGAACGATTGACAATATTTTGTTATAATGCGAGGTAATATTTGATTTGTTTTGAATTTCGCGCGAAGCTACACGAGGGCTATCTGCGCTAGCCGTCCCTGATTTAGCAGTGTAAGGCTAGAGGGAAGGCAGCTAGTCATCACCACCTACCGCCAACTCTTGGGATATTCTTTTACCAACGAATAGTGGGATTGACCGTCAC